CCCCCCCCCCCCCCCCCCCCCCCCCCCCCCCCCCCCCCCCCCCCCCCCCCCCCCCCCCCCCCCCCCCCCCCCCCCCCCCCCCCCCCCCCCCCCCCCCCGCGCCCCCCCCCCCACCCTTAACAGACACAGAACAAAGAACTTATAAGGTAAAGAGAGAGCGGAGGAAAAAGATAATGAGATGTAGAGAACGAGATGAGTCACGTGACCATTAAGCTACTCTTAAGAGCAATAATTTGAAAAAATACTGTAAATATTTGAATTAAATTGTGAATTTTGAATCATTGAAAAAAATAAATTTTATCTAAAGCTAAAAATCGAAATCACAATTCAAATGGTGAATCACACGCAAGAAATAGGGCTGGGAAGTCAGGTCAAAAATGACTCAAGTCTAAGTCAAGTCAAACTTGACTTGGTCGAAAGATTTTTGGTGTGTGACTTGATTTGAGAGATTTTTTTTGAGACCGTGACTGGACTTGAAAATTTTTCAAGTCAAGTCATTTCTAGTAAGAGATTTGCGTTAAAATTAGATATTTTTTACCATGAAACAGAATTTCTGAAACTATAAAAATTGTCTCTCACCCAAAAGACGCTAGCAAGTTTTATATTGTCTAATTTTTAATCGTGACTTGAAGAAAAAGTTTATTAATTATTAATTTTCTAGTTTTATTCGAGATTAAACAAGCGCAATGAATGCAGATGATGTCAAAACAACTTGCGTATACAATGAAAATGGTTAAAAGAATTTTCGACTGAATGCAAAACAATTATGTTGTAAAAACAACAGAAAATTTCAAAAAATTAATCACAGATTTAGGTGTTGAATCAAATATAATGAACAATGCAATCTCTCAGAGAACTATTATTCAAACATCATTGACGGCTGTCAACGACTTAATGTACCAAATAGCAATAGGGAGTGACTCGGAAATTACTGATCAGATAAATGCCATACTATACTGATACTTTTAATTATTACTATTTTGTAAGTGTTACTATAAAAACCAGATCGTATCAGTGTAAATGCTAATATGTCGTTACACGAATTTTTTGTCGAATCTTTGGTTGTTAGGAAACACAAATTTGCATGTTTATTTCCGTATTTTCATTTGCTTTTGTGAAATACAAAACAAATCTTTCTTTTATAAATATTGTTTTATGGATTGTTTTCTTTTATCTGAATTGACGAATATGTGCATACAAAACTATCTCTTCTCCTTCCTTTTTAGAGTTCTCTACTATGAAAAAAAAATCATAAAAATTCTTATCTGTAGTTTAATTTCAATCTTTTAAGAAATTATAGAATTGACAGCGAGAAAGACAGTCCAACATTTTGTTGCGATCTTTTTTGTTTGCGTTTGAGTATTCCCACATTCAATCTTTTTCCTAAACGAAAAGCACGACAAGATGTAACTTTAGACAAGTTCTGGTGAGTAAAGGATATTTGAAAGAAAATAGTCTCTCCTTTCTCTTTTGCACTGGATCAATGACCTCCCTGCCTGCAAGAAACATAAGAAACAATTGTGCCGTCTAGAAAGCGCACACTGAGGTGTAGTGGTTGTCATCTTTACTATTTTAGCCGAGCGAATGAGATTTTTTGACAAATAAAAAACTCCACACAACTAATCTACATCATCATAAAGTAACTGCTTTATTATCATTAACTATATGTTTGACAGCTGATGAATAAGAATGTCTTTCATTTCGTTGCATCACATCTATAGATGTTTAGTAAAATAGTGTCTATATTGTAAAAATAATCCACTGAGAGTAAAACATGTACCACCAATAACAAAGATAATAGCTGATAATCCTTCATCCGAGTCTGTTTTATTAAATTGTGGTAGGAATAATATTGTACCGATAAAATAAAAGATCCCTCCGGCACCAGCGAAAAAGTCGACGCCTAATGCTGGTTTATCATTCAGCAAATTGCTGATAGTAAATTTTTGATCATGACGATTATTGATATTTGTACATCCAGAACGATATAGTTTCCATCCTTGAGAGATATAGATAACAGCAGATCCGATGATAAATAGCCATTCTCCTACTACCAAGTATTTGCTAAATACTTCTATAAAAAGTATCGATCCAGCCAGATACAAGGCACTACCGCAAGCAGACATGAAGAAATTTATCCCAATTACAGCTCGTTCATAGACTCCTCTGATTGAGTTCTTTGGATGCTGGAATAAATCAGCATTAACTGTTTCATAGGTCGATCGATATTTTTTATCAAAGCAACATCCAATGCGATAATAATACCATTCTTGCAAATCAGCTAGCAAGAAAAAGAATGAGCCAGTTGTGAAAAGCCATCCACCAACATTTAGAGATCTGAAGTTTGGATTATGGATTGCCGTTGGAAAATACATACATGAACCGCATATGAAAAAAAGACCACCGAGCATATAATGAGTACCATGAAAGAATCGCCATGTTAATGACTGAGGTCGATCGAGAATATTCCCATCTGGAATCACCAATGGTTTTCTATCTGACTCAGAATTCATGTTCAATTATCTAAAAATAGAGGAGAACACTGAATTCTATGATCTACTGCTTATCAAAGTAGAAACATATCATTGACAGAAAAATAAAGTTCATTTAGAGTCGCGAAAAAGTACGTTTTCGTATTCAACACACTCGATAACCTAGAAGACTTTCAATTTTGGGCGACGCACAGTGGGCATTCAGGTGGAAATTTAGAAAAAAACAGTGAGCTTGCTTTTTCGTAATTTAAATAGTGTTTCATATACTTCGAGTGACGGCCGATTTAATGGCGAAAGAATTTTTTATTC